CGTCTCACTTCATCTTCTTCAGAATCACAAAGGCAACTCTCATTGTACATGCATCATCATATAATATTCACGCTCAGATCTTTCAACCACCTTAGTCGTCCTTTGTGGTCTTAGATTGTTTCAAATCGGCTTTATCAATAGATGTTTATAAGAACTAGGTTGAGAAGAAGTGTTCATCTGGTTTCTTGAAATCTCCTATAATGAATTATTTTCACTTTTGAACTTAAGAGTGAGATAAACCTAATTCCAAACATACATACAAATTGGAGCACAGTAAAAAGAATTTAGACCCAAAACGCTCCATTGACTTGTGAGTAATATTCCGTCAAACATATGAATTTTTGACACAATGAAACTTCTAATTTTTTGAATGAGTAAATTTTTGTTTGTATTGTGATTTAGTAAAGTGAGGCAAAACACTACTGGAGTAGTTAAAAAATAATAATCTGTCAAATAGAATCATGTGTGCAATCACTGACAGTCCACAACCGTCAGACGCATGCGCAGACTACGCATTTTGACTGTATTTTATTATATTATTTTAATTTTTGCCACATCTCAGCTGCTTTTCGGCAATAATAATGTAGACATTACATTCTTCTTATTTATAATAATCTTAGTCTATAAGTGAATAGAAATAATGTTTGGCAAATGAGTCTTCATTTGTTCTTAATGTTTAACAATGCTACAAATATTTTCAATGTCAATCAATGATAAGCAGTTTTTTGCCATTTTTTCCATTTATTTCTTTAATTTAACTATATTTCTATAAATCAAAAAATCCTAAAAAAATCCCTTAACAAACTTTAGGCAGATTTATCAAAATCCGAATAATCGTTCAGGAAGATTACGCTTTTATACCCTATTATAGAAGAATTTTAAATATAAGATAGAATATATAAGAAATAATTTATTTTCTAAACCTATTTCATAATTTTCTGATTGAATAACCAACCTGACTGAAAATATATAAATAAATATATATATACAGTGCTGGATTTACAGTCGGGGCTACTGCCCAGGGCGGCAAATTTTTGGGGGCGGCAAAATTTGGATAGTGAGAACAAAATTCTATACCATATAATTAACTTATTTTTTTAATAACATTTTTTATTTCAAAAAATATAATTAATAAAACATTATACAAATACAATGTAAAATTTGGCAATTTGGCTAACATAAGGATACGTAAATGAGTTGAAAGTTTAAGAAAAATATGTTCTTCAGATCTCGAGCCCTTTTAAGATGACGAATTTGTGCACTTCCAAGCTTATAGCGCGGAAAAAAATTAAATTAGTGAAGCATGGCATTGTGCCTTACGGCAAGTTAGTGAAACTTTCCGTACTGAAAATTACATTTTATAAAAAGCTTTAAATTTTTTTGAAAAATAATGAAAATTGAATTTAAGAAACCTTTTTTTTATATTTCGATTTTTTTTTTTGTAAATTAATAACTTTTATGTATTAAATTTATTGAAATTAAATTTTATTTGAATGATTCGATTCCTATTGATAGCGAGACGAGCTGATTAGTTATTGGTCAAGGCAGGTCCCAAAAATAATAATTCAGTTTTTGAAAAATGGAACGTCCAATATCATTAAAAGAAATTTACATGTATAGACAAAACGGAGAACTGATTAAATTTGTGGGAGGTCTAGCGGTTTCGATGATCCAATAAAAAATTTGAAAAAGAAACATTTGACGGTCAAAAGTGGTCATTAAACATGTGCACATCAAATTATCATATATTTTAATAATAAGTAAGAATTTTGTTTACATTTTACTATGGGTTCTGTATCATTATTTATTCGTTATTCTGCGAGGCGACGCTTACGCGCTTCTTTATTTTGTCTCTACGCAGCTAAAGCAGGGCGATCGCTTTAAAAAAAGTTTTTTTATTTTAATTTTTTGTACGGGAATTTCCAGCAATTTGCCTTAAGGCACGATGCCAAGCACCACTATTTATAGTATGTAATGCGTAATAAATTTACTGCAATCAAATAGTAATTTTAATTTTAGAAAAATGATATGTAAAAACTTTTTTGCCTAAAAATTCAGGGATGGGGCGGCATTTTAATCATTGCCCCAGGGCGCCAAATTTCTAAATCCGGCCATGTATATATATATATATATATATATATATATATATATATATAAATATATATATATATATATATATATAAAGTATATAATTTATAAAATATATAAAAAATATATTTATATATTTTCAGTCAGGTTGGTTATTCAATCAGAAAATTATGAAATAGGTTTAGAAAATAAATTATTTATAATATATATATATATATACAGTAGGCCCTCGCTTTACACGGCACTCTGGGTACACGGTTCCCATACTACACGGAGCTAAAAATGCGACATCCCTCCGACTACACGGACTTCTTATTACACGGTATTTGGTCAACAGCCCATAAGTTCGTTGTGCAAAAGGGTATTGATGTAAATTTTGTTATTGATTTTTATCTTTTAGGCATGCCTGTTTATATAATAGCTGCCTAAGAACACGTTTGAGCTGACTACTGCGTCGCGCCAATTTTTGAATAAGGTGTCAATCGTGTCAATGCCCTACATGTCATTTCGTCCGTATTACTCCTACTTCAAGTTGTATTTCTTGGTCTCCATACAGCACGATAAAAATGATGCGATTTGTACCAACTGTGAGTCTCTCATAGCACGGATCCCATACTGCACTATGTAAGGTTCCATAGAACGCACTACGAATTAGCCTGAATTGTATGTTAAATACGAGTTTCTTATAGCACGATTCCCATACTGCACGGTACGCACTTGCCGCGTAAAGCGAGGGTTTACTGTATATATATATATATATATTAATTTGGAAATATGAACAAACAACACTCTTTTTTTGCACTAATTTATTAAATAATAATTTTCACAAACGTTTCGAGACTAGGTTTGTCTCATCATCAGTGTTATAATTTAAAATTTAAAATATGGAAATCTAAATTAGCATTTTGTGTTAACCATTACAAGTCGCTCGATACAAGTCTTTGGTCTTACCTCTGTTATTGTAAAATATAAATGAAGAAAAAATACAAGAAATATAAATTGCAATCAGCTTCTAACCTAAAAATGAACTTTTTACTCCAAAATAAATATTAGTTGAGAGAAAGCTCAAATCATAAATGTGTTTCTTGTCTGCTGTGCACATTGTAGAATGTACAATGGCTTGTTGTCACCTGTTGTGTACTTGCCAAATGTCAAATTATGTGAGCATGATGTTTACCGGCGACGTATTAAAATATCTCTTTGAGCAATTATAATTATTTATTTACAAATTATTTTTAAAGTGTGTTAAATTTAAGTATAATTATGAACTTTCGCGCTTTAACAATTAGACTTAGAAGATACTTTTTCTACTTAAGTTTATCAACGATTGTGTTTTTGACATATATTTTGATTCAAAACTATGACTATCCTAAACAGAAATTATTAAAAAAGGGTACTACAACTACAGAGACTATAATAGAGTTTAATAAAAATTCTGCAACTGCAGAAATAGAGGAATACGACAGATATAAATATAGGATTAGAGTTATTAAAGAAAAGATAAAAAGGCTTTCCTATACTAGTGATAAATTGTCAATACAACATAATGATCAATTAACTAATGTTAGTTATAAAATTCACGCATTTTATTATGCTTGGTATAAAAGCATAGATTTTGATGGTGCTTGGGCTCATTGGAACCATAAATATCTACCTAACTGGAATAAAAATGATTTAAAAAAATATCCAGTTGGTGCTCATAATCCACCTGAAGATATAGGCTCTAATTTTTATCCGCAATTGGGTTGTTATAGTTCTAACGATCCACAAATTATTAGATCTCATATGAAATACTTTAAAGTAGCAGGCATAGGAGTTTTGGTTTTATCATGGGCTCCACCAAATTTTGAAGACTCACCTGATAACAATTTGAAACAAATTTTAGATATTGCTCTTGAAAATGATATTAAGGTTTCTTTACAAATAGAACCATACAAAAATCGAAATCCTGAAAATTTTGTTAAATTTTGGAAAAATTTCATACTCAAATTTGGAGATCATGAAGCCCTCTATAAAATTAAAAACAAGAGATTTAATATACATTTACCTTTAACTTACATGTATGATTCATATCTCATAGAATCTAATGACTGGAAATCAATTTTTTCAAAGAGTGGTTTAAATACTATTCGTGGAACAAAATATGATGGCATATTTTTAGGATTACTTGTTGATGCCCAACATAAGACCCATATAAAACGTTCTGCATTTGATGGTTTCTATACTTATTTTGCCTCCAATGGATTCTCTTATGGTAGTTCTTGGAAGAACTGGAATTCCTTGAACAGATTTGCAAAACAAAATAACTTGATATTCGTACCTTCAGTTGGTCCAGGATATATTGATGTCAGAGTTCGACCATGGAATAGTGCAAACACAAAGGATCGTTCTCATGGAAGGTAATACATTCAATTGTAAAATTTGTATGAAAATTTATATATTGCATTTGAAAATTTGCAGATACTATGAAACAGCTTGGCGTTCTGCTGTTAAGAGTGGAGTGTCATTTATATCTATAACAAGTTTTAATGAATGGCATGAAGGAACCCAGATTGAACCGGCTGTTTTTACCTCAGGTTATACCAGTTATGATCCAGAAGAATCAAACTATTACCTAAACTTAACACGACAGTTCATAAAACAAATGCCATTCATTGGTTAAAATAGATTTATGAATATAATTTTATTAACCTTCATTGTTTCAACATGTTTTTGTTAAAAATTTAAATTTCTGTCAACATCCATTTCCATGCTTTTTCACCTGCATTTCATTTAAAAATGAATTCCAAATTTGTGGAACTAACTATTTTTCTGTGACGTTCACTTAAATTTGGCTTATAATTATGATTATAACCCATTTGTAATAACCGCGCAAATGATTTAAAAGTGGCTCACTTCGTACCCCTTGCAGCATTGCTTTTCAAAACTTTTTAGGTTAACATACTGTCAAAAAATTTGACTAGGAAAAGTTAATATGTTGTTACTCTAAAAAAAATCTAATTATACTACGCATATATCAATTAGTAATTCAAAAGGATTATGTTATTTGAATATTGGTAAAATGAAGTGTCACTACGAAGTGTTAAATATCTCAAGAGATGCAGATCAGTCTGAGATCAAGACAGCTTATAGAAAACTAGCACTTCAATGGCATCCGGATAAAAATTTAGATCAACCAGAGGTTGCAAAGGAACACTTTCAATTAGTTCAACAAGCATATGAAGTTTTATCAGATTTGCAAGAACGGGCTTGGTAACTGAAAATATGAAATAAATTATATTGTCATTATTGTAAATAAAGCAATTTTCTCAAGGTATGATAATCACAGAGAAGAAATATTGAAAGGTGCACAAACAAATTATGAAGACAATTCTTTGGATATTTTTCAGTATTTCACTTCAACATGTTTCAAAGGATATGATGATTCTCCTCAAAGCTTTTATTCCGTCTATTCCGAAGTATTGATATATCATTTATTATTTTTATAATTAGTTATTGCTTTGCATATCATTTATTACAATTTTTTTTAGGTTTTTTCAAAATTGGCATCAGAAGAAATAGAATATTTAGATGACCCTGAAGACTATGAAAATATACCGATATTTGGCAATTATCAGAGTCCTTACGAGGTTGTTAAAGCGTTTTATGCTTATTGGCAAAGCTTCTCAACTAAAAAAAGTGAGTAGGTTCTCATAAATATATATGCTCACTGATCACTTTTCTTATCATTCAAATAATATCTTCTAGGCTATGCTTGGTTAAGCCCATATAACATAAACGAGACTAGGGATAGAAGAGTTATCAAACTTATTGATAAGGAAAATAGAAAAGTTCAACAAAAAGCCCGCAGAGAAAGAAATGAACAAGTTAGACAGCTTGTTCAATTTGTAAGGAAGAGAGATAAGCGAGTGATAGCACAGAGAAAACTTGAAGAAGAACGTGCTCAACAAAATAAAATTAAAGCAGAACAAATGAGAAAGGAGCAGATTCGGCAACGTAATCATGAATTATCAGCTCAGGTGAACAACTCAATAGTAATGGATGATTTAGAAAGTAAACTAAGGTAATTTTAAATATGGTTTAGATATCTGTATTAATAATTTTAATTATAATGTACCAAAATATAATTATCATATGGCCTATAAAGTATCATATGTACCAATATAAAATGTCTTAGTCAATAGTCAGTTTTCGCCTGCAATAATCAGCACATTAAATTATTAATTGATTTCTTAATAATTATAGAGAAATCGAGAAGAATTTGTTAGATGAATTTGGAAACTCTGAAAGTGATTTTAGTGAAGATTCAGATAATGAAAATCAAAGGAAAGAATATGATCAAGATATATCAGATTCCACTGAAGAAGAAGAAAATGAAAGTAATAAACAAGAGGATAATGATATGGCAAATAATTTATATTGTGTGGCCTGCAATAAATTATTCAAAACAGTTAGTTCATTTGAAAATCATGAGAGATCTAAAAAACATAATGATCAAGTAGCATTGTTACTAATTGAAATGCAAAATGACGACGCCGATATGAATGATGAAGAAACAAATAATTGTGAGCATTTTGACAGTTTTGATTCTGAAAGTAACAATGTAGTTTTATCTGATGCTGAAGAATTATTAGATATAAAGCAAATTTCATCCGATGGAGAAGTGACACAATCTCCCATATCTAGAAACAAAAAGAAACAGAAATTAAAGGCAAAGTTAGCACAAACAGTGATTAATTCTGATGAAGAAATTGAAATTTTAGATGAATTTAAACATAATTCCAGTGACAATGACAATGAATGGGAATGTAAAAGTAGAACGAAGGTGAAGAAATCTAGAGCAAATGTTAAAAAGAAGGTAAACAGTTCTGACCAATCCAATATTAACACTGCAAATACACACCAGGATGAATTAAAAAATTCAAGGATGAATAATAAAACAAAAGTGCAAGATAAGAAGCAAGATCTAGAAAATGACTTGGATACTAATCATATTTGTGTAAGTTGTAGAGGAAAATTTGAATCAAAGAATAAATTGTTTGCACACTTAAAATCATCTGGACATGGAGTAGCATTAAATAATAAGACGGTTACAAAAAATAAATCAGACAAAAGGTCTAGACGAAAATAGAATTTATTTATTCTATAAGTATTCAGAAACTTCATGAATAACAAATATTATGTTTCAATTTATTTCATAATATATATGATACGATGTATTAGTTGTTTGTTTCTTTTGAGATTTAACTTGAGATTATCATCATTGAGATCATTATCAATTTTGACAATATTACATTCATTATTTACTGATGAAGTATTTAAATGCAATTATGTTAATAATAATATTTTAATGACAAGTGTTTATCACTTTTGGTAAAATAGGTGTATTATTTTTTCTATATTTCAACTTTTATTTGATTGAATAAATTATTCATGTATTTTTTAAAAACTCTGCAGATATTTTAGCATAAGTTAACTATTATTTAAACATCTTATGTAGAATCAAACAAACATATTATATATCGTTAAAAATTTATACCTTTTTCATTTTTTTCTACAACTGGCCTCATAGATAAGGAAACTGACTGACTTCTTCCTATATACTCCAATAATTTGGTAGTTTTGCGCCGAAAGTACTCAGGAAGTTTTGAAAATTAGTAGTCTTGTAAATTTCGAATTTCATCTGAGCTATCGTTGGTAAAATGGTGACAAAAAACAGTTTTTTAACAATAACTCTTTATGGCTTATTTTGCGATAAAGGTATCTTCATGCGGAATAAACAAGAGAAATTTTTTTATATTTCATTCAATATCCATTTTTTTTTTGTAAAATCAATAGTTTTAGTGTGAAGATGCCTCAAAGTCTTTCTGCCATATTAGGCCTCCTTGTATTTGCCTGCTCTCTTTACTTGAACGCAGTCACAAATAATTGTTTTCAATATTAAATTAAGCAAACATATATTTCAAACATGAAAAAATACTGAAAACACTAAACTAAAAATTGAAGTAAATAATAGAGAAATAGAGGAGGTGGAAAGCATAAAATACTTAGGACTGATAATAAATGAAAAACTGACATGGACCGAACAAATAAACAAAATAAAAAGAAAGATAACTAATTAACAGGGGCATTGAAAAGGATCCACTCTTTCGGAAAAAAAAAAACTAATTCTTAAAACGCAAATAATACCTATAATTTTATATGGAATAACAACATGGAGCCAAACAACTAAAGCAAACCTAAATGACATACAGAGAATAATGAATAAAGCCATAAAAATAGCATATAATTTACTACATCTAACACCCACCAAATACTTACAGAGAGAAACAAATAATCATTCACTAAATAACATAATTAAAATAGAGAAATGCAAACTAATACACAGAATGAAATTTAACCGAATTAAAACAAGTGCAACAATAGACACAAATCAAGATATACATGAACACTACCCTAGACAACACAACAATTTTCACATTGAACGCAATAGAAAAAAAAATTTGAGGGAAAATGTCATATGGAGTGCTACCAAAATATATAACAAATTGCCAGACTATATTAAGATGACCAATGATAATGATAATTTTAAAAGAAAAATAAAGAAGTACTATAAGGAAATTGAAGATAAAAAAGACTGAAGAGTTTATGTCTATATATATATATATATATATATATATATATATATATAGATCTATGTTTATATAGATATATAATATTTCAAAACTACCTGAATACTTTCCTGGCAACAGCCTTTTTTGCACCAAATAACTGAACTAAAAGTGTAGTATAATTAGATTGATAAAACTAATCTGTCAATGCACTACGTAGAATTTAAACTGTATACTATACAAAGCTGAATTTAAAGCTGTTTTATTCATATTCTACTAGAGCTATGTATTTGAGAGCAATGAAAACTTTATAAACACATGCCAGTTAAAACAAAAAGAACACTGACGCCTAGACAATATAATAATATGTTGAGCACTAGCTAGACAATATGAGAATAACACATATTCATATATTTATTCTGGATGTAGCCGATATTATTATATTGTTTATTATTATATTTACTTGCCGTTAGCTCAAATGTTCGTTCGTTGTACAACGAACACGTACAGGATCAAACTGTGCGTCACTGACAGATGTCAAAATGGTTTGGATAGGTTAGAAATTATTTTGACAGTTCTGAAAGTGTCAGAAAGGAACTTTTAACTCCTATTTTAACTTACCCCTTACTGAATAAGTAATAAACATATAAATAACTGTAATTTGTTATAAAAAGAGATATAGAAAAATCATGTATATCCATTTACATTCTAAAAGTTGTTAAAATTAATGCATAAGTCTCGGATCATTCAGATTCTACTGAAATGTTTACTCTACTTCATGGATTTTTTAATATTTAATGCAAAAGGATGAATATTGTGTTTTGATACTCGGATTGGATAATGCTGGTAAAACGGTAATTTTGATTTGCATACACAATTTATATCAAATTCTCGTAATTTTAATGACTGTCTATATGTATAGACTTATTTAGAGGCAGCAAAAACAAAGTTTTCGAAAAGACAGAAAGGCATGCATCCCAGTAAAATTACAACGACGGTTGGCTTGAATATAGGTCAAATAGAACTTGGTGGGTCTAAACTCAGTTTTTGGACCTCGGAGGGCAGCAGGAGCTACAATCTCTTTGGGATAAAGTATGGTTTTGCAAGTTTTTAAATAGTATTGAAGAACTTTGTAGATCTAAAACTCTTTTTTGCATAACCTTGATTTATTCTGTAATTTATAAGGAAGAGATTATGTTGCAAAATCATGTGTTTTATCATTTTTTATAAATACTGACCATTTTTAATAAAATATATTATATATTATTGCTATATCTTTTCATTAATAAAATATTTAAAAATAATCATCTCAATAGTAACTGGTTTTGTACTACAGTTTATTTAAAATTATAAACATTGTATATTATTCTCGTTTATTGATCAACTCTTTCCTAGTCTGAGAAACAATTTATTAATTGAAATTAGGAAACATTGTTTAATGTGTAAAATCAATAGTATAAAATTCATCTGCAAGATTCTTTTTTTTTTGATTAGTCAAGTTTCTTTCACAGTATTATGCGAATCACATGCTATTATATATGTTGTCGATTCTTCTGACAGAGAAAGAGTTGAAGAATCAAAAGCTACATTTGGTATGTACTAGATTTGTAACACATTTATTCTACTTTCAACTAATTTTTTTTTAGATCGGATGATTTGCAATGAATTTTTATCTGGAGTACCACTATTATTGTTGGCTAATAAACAGGATCTACCTGATTGTATGGGTGTTAGAGATATTCGTCCTGTATTTCAACAAGCTGGCCCCCATATTGGTAGACGCGATTGTCTTGTTATGCCAGTATCTGCTTTAACAGGGTTTGTTTATTCTAAACATATTGCTATAAAAATTCCTTAACATTAATTACTTCTTAATATTAATATTATTTCTTCTTATTTAGTGAAGGTATTGATGAAGGTATTCGTTGGCTTTTGGATTCTGTGAAGCGCAATTCTGTTGTTCGCCCTCCAAAATTACAAGATGAGACTTAAACAATGTATTTGCACTAAATTTAAATTTTATTTTTATATACAACTATTAAAATATTTCATTTAGTATTAATGAGTTTTGTTTTCAAACAATAATTAAGACTTCAGTACTTTTCAAAATATTTAAATAACAATATGAATTATTCTTTTTGCTTTCAATTATCGATTTCAAGAAAATTTTGTAGCTCTTCACATTCAGTTTATATGCAGTATCTTACTTAAGTGATTGAATTAAATCCATTAATAGTTTTTGGACCATTTTGACCAAGTGATTTCAGAGTATCTGAAAACACTAACAATTTATAATATAAAATAATAATAATATAAAAATAATATACATTATATATAATATATATATTATATATATATATTATATATAAGTGAAAATATTAAACTACTTACTGAACATAATTCTCGAATACTCGGGTCACGGTCGTCCATATGCAAAACAACAGTCTTGTATATATCAATCAATAAGGTTTTCCAACAAAATATGAATCATCATTATTAACATCTTCTTTTTTGTAGTTCTTTTATTTCCTATCGCTGCTACAGATTGTAATGCTTGCGCTGCACATGCTCTAATTTGATGTTCTGAATCATCTAATCGTTTTCCTAAAGCTTTAATAGACAATTTTCGAATAATAAAAAATACGTTACATACATGTAATGCTTCATTTTGTTTAGGCTTTTTACCTATGTATATCTTCCCCAAAATCTCTTGATTCCAAGTCATCGGGAAGTAAAGCAATTACTTTTAAGTGTACATCTAGTCTGAATGGAATCATCTTCACTAAAGTAATTAATAAAGGCACCTGTTTTGAAAGCAGCAACGTTGACTGCAAAAAATAGTTGATTCTCAAAATATGGCGGGAACGGTAATAGATATTTGGTAAAGATATGAATTTAATTCAATATTCAGATCTCCGATTTCTTCCAGTGATATATGATTTACAATCTTGGCGCAAACGAATGTTTATTTAGAACCATAAATAAAATATCAACATTCAAACCAATAAACATTTCAATTATTGTATATCATCATCAATAATATCCAACATTTTAAAACAAATCTAATTTTTATTATTTGTTCTAAGACGTGGTGTGAAATACTACATACCTTTGTTGAATTCTGTGCTAAAGTACACAAACATGAGGCAGCAGCTGTTCTACATGCGTCCGCTACTTTTCCCGGAGCCCAGACTAAATTGGAACGATTATCACTGAAATTTTGAAATGAGTATGATAAATTTAATGAGATAGCTATAAAACATAATGTGATACATTTAGGAGCAAAAACAATTACAATAATTAATAAAACGTATTAACATTGTACGATCGATTCAGAATTTTAAAATAATTACACGCCGATTATAAAGTTTAACAATGATTACCATCAACAAGTTTCTCGAGTATATAATTGTCTCCTTCGAACGATTTCCAGTGTAGGAAGACCAGTGCGAGACTGGTAAACATTCTTATTTTAATTTCTGTCTCCATCTGTAGAATGCCTTCTAATATGATGCATATAATATCCCAATATTTATGCAAAACTTCAGCCAGTGTTCCAAAACAGTTTCTATGATCAAATAATCTACGCTGCTTCCCGTAAAATTATCCGATTTGGTCAATAAAGACTGCCAAAAGAGGTCTCAAATGCCGAGAAGTGCAAATCTTTTAATTTTCCATTGGAGATACTTGCATTAAAGCTCCTGATGTAAATAAAAAGATAAAGATAAAGATACATTAATTGTAATGTAAAAATATTATATATATATATATATATATATATATATATATATATATATATATCAATACCTCAGCGGGCTTTGCTGATTTCTACATTCAAACGATAATATTTTATAAATAAATACTTAAATTGAAAGTTTTGTTAAGTACATAAAAATTTAAGTCCTTATTATTTATGATAATTTACACGTTATTTGAATATATTTATTTTTAATATCTTTACTACAAAAAATTATACTGATAATTAAACAGTTAGAAAATGAATTCCGTAAGGTTTTTTTTAAAGGTGTTATTAAGAACATTTACTTTACTTAAGCAATAATTGTATTTTG